GCATTCTTTCGCTGGGTGTATTCCAACAGGATTGCCTTCAATGCCTTCCGCAACACGCCGTACACTGACCTCCAGTAGGTTGCTCTTCGGCAACCTGGTGGAGCACCTCTTCCCGTGCTTCCATCCCACAACGAGATCGCAGACATGCAAACTGTGGAGATTCATCGCGAGCAGTTGGCGGAGGAGTTGGAGGAGGTTAGGCAGCCATTATGGGTGAGTGGCGCCACTCTCTTTCTGACGGGAGCAAGTCACGAGATGGGCGACCGATCGTGAACTTCCTCACAGGTGGGTCTCGAGGGGTCGTCATGTACACGACGATATACCGAGAGGGGGAGCCAGACGATGCGGTGCACGTCCTGCAGAGATGGGTCGCAATCTTTCATGGTTTCAGACTCGGTGGCCTACAGCGGGTCAATGCTATATGCACTGACTCCGCCTCTGCATACGTGGGGGCTGCGAGGGCTTTGGCCTCGCTATCTATGCCCCCTGAGTTGAGGAGGATCACTTGGCTCCTGTGTTGCGTCCATGTCTGCAACAAGTTGTTGTCAGACATTGGCACAATCTGCACCTCTTTCGTGGACACGATCACACGTGCCCGAGTTCTGGTGGTGTTTTTTAAAACCCACCAGGCCGCTCTCAGCTTCTTTCGGAAGCAGAGTGCAGCGTTGGGCCTCGTGCTTTCATGCGAGATGCGCTTTGCGTCCGTCTACTCTATGTTGGAGAGGCTGCTCGCTCTGCAGGATCGTTTGCAGGGCATGATGACAGCGGAGGACGGTCGGGCTTGGGCTAGGATCCCGTGGTCCCTCGACGTTCGCGACATGGCGCGTTGGGTGCGCCGACAGATCAGGTGGTCCCCTTGGTGGGAGAGGATGCGTGCCATCAAGCACGTCATGGATCCTGTCATGGACTTGTTGAGGCAGATCGACCGTGGCGGGCAGTTCATGTCCCGCGTTGTAGAGTGGACTCGGGATCTTGCACGCCTTGTGCGGGACGCTTGCATTCCTCTTGGCCAGTCCTTTTCTGACCGTATCATGAGGCGTGTGCAGGCCCGTATACAGCACATGATGGAGCCCGCACACTGCGCCTCGTTCTTACTAAAGCCCCGTCGCCGGGATGTTCAGTACTTCTCCGCGCAGCTCGACAGGTACCACACTTGGCTTGTTCGACAAGCCAAGAGGTATCTGTTGTCTTAGACGGGCCACGACGAGTCGGGTGGTCGTTACCTTGAGGTATGTCGGCAGTTCGAGCACTTTCACATGCAGCAGGGTAGGTATGGGTCTTGGGGCGGGGCAGAGGGCCGCGCTCGAGCGCGTAGTTGCAGCGGAGACTGCGAGACGTTGAAGCGTGCGTCGTGGTGGTCTCAGTACGGGGGAGACGCGCCCGATTTACAACATTGTGCTCTTCGTTTGATGCACATGTGGTCCTGCGCCTCTCCAGCGGAGAGGAACTGGGCGGTCCACGAGGGCATCCATACGAAGAAGCGTAATCAGTTGGCCCTCGAGAAGGTCGTTCATCTTGTTGAGATCACCGCAAATGTGCGGTTGATGGAGTATAGACGTGCAGGTTGTGGATACGTCCTCCCTTGGCAGCGAGACAAAGGCATGCTTGACGCTCAGGCGGGATTGGACGTGGAGCCTGTGCACTCGGGGACGAGGAGTGGGATGACGGAGGAGGAGATCGAGGAGCAGGCTGCCCTCATTGCGCGCGATCCCATTAGGTCTTCTGCGCCGCCCCCTGTTGAGTCTGTTTTCGATGCTCGTGCGACTGTCTTCCGCCCATACCCCAGGGACGATGACTTTGCGGACGAGAGGGAGTCGGAAGCAGCGGACGACCCGATGCTTCCCATCCCGCGTGAGATTGATGAGTTGCACGAGGGGGGCGACGTGCGTGACGAGAGGACGCACACCGTGCGGAGGGCGGCAGACCAGCGAGACATGGATATGATGGGGGGCGAGGAGTTTTGGGGATCTTTCGGGGGCACGGAGGAGAGATCCCCCAATGCCGCGCGGGATGATACGCATCCTCGCACGACCTTGCGGGAGGAGACGCCTGCTCCCATGACTGCCAGTGAGGAGCCGGGTCCTGCCACGACAGCGCGAGAGCGGACGACTATTTTGTCGACCGCACAGGAGCAGACGCCTGCTTCCACGACCACACGAGAGCAGACGAGTATTCCCGCTACGCAGTCCGGACCCTCGTCCCCGTCGCCTCTTTCGCGTCATTCTATCCCAGGATTCCCAGCATCCGCTCTGACCGCTCCCGTTCTGCATGACGAGCGCTCACCTGCATCGGTCGGGAGGGAGGACTTGGGGTCCTCGTTGCGCATCCGCGAGCATGTATCATTGCTCAGCGTAGCCCGTCAGCTCGTTTTGGACCCGCGTGCATCGAGCGACTTGGGGGAGATGGGTGTTCATAGCGGGGCACCAACGGTGGAGGAGAGGAAGAGACGAGCGGAGGAAAGCGGAGCCGCCGGAGCGGGCGGAGTTGAGGGTATTCGGGGTATGGAGGAGGAGGTAGCTGGAGTAGTGGGGGGCGTAGTGGAGGTAGACGATGGTGCGCACGTCGAGAGAGAGGAGGCCATGGCGAGGGTTGATGATGGTGAGCAGGTTGAGGGAGTGGAGGGTGTGCTGCCATCGGAGGTTGAGAGAGAGGACGATGTGGTGAGGACGCAGGAGGCGACGATGAGGGACGATGAGGGAGAGGAGGTTGTGGCAGGGTTAGAGGAGAGCGTGGTAGGGGTAGATGATGGTGATGCCCAGGTTGAGATGGAGGAGGATGTGATGAGGGCAGATGTTGTTGCGTTGGTTGGGGGAGAGGAGGGTGTGGTAGGAGGGGACGTCGCCCATGGTAGAGGAGAGGGAGGCGATGACCTTGACCCGATCGTCCAGCGTTTCATCGATGACGAGATGGGTCCTGCACTAGCGGGTTTGACCCAGGGCACGAGGAGGGCACTGGGGGCGTCACCATCAGGACAGAGGGGGGCGTCAGGGCTGGGGATGGGGGATTTCATGGACATGTCTTTGGGGGATCCTCCCAGCCCTGGTCACGCAGAGAGAGAGGATGTGGCAAGTGCCCTAGCAGCCGCTGGGTACTCCACACAGGAGATCGAGCAGGCATTTGCAGGACGCTCCGGGAGAGAGACATACACGCTTCAGCAGGGGTGCGAGGAGGTAGTAGAGCAGCCACAGGAGGAGCGTGAGGATGCACCCCCTGCAGATATCCCCGGAGGCAGCAGTTCGTTGGTACCGTTGACGGACTTGTAGATGACGACGACGATGCGGCCAGTTCGACCATGTGTGCAGGGGTCAGGTTTTGGGGAGGAGGCATTTGTTCAGGTACCACCGGTCATAGTCGTGGATTTAGGATCTGAGGCAATTTTTCATACACTGGTTAGTGGGCGCCAAACTCCTCATGATACAGCTCGCTCATTGGATTTCGCGGAGCTCGCACGGGTTGCTGTGCGTGACGTGACACGGCAGGAGGACACCGACCCTAGCAGATCACTTATGCCGCCTCCTCCTCCGAGATCACGTCACATCGATTCCCCCTCGACACCAATCGGTCGGCCCCCCCATTCACCATCCACGCCCACCAGACCCAGGGTTCGTGACACGACGGCTGTAGGGAGCCTCCCTCTTGACACGTCGCTATTCGGGAGGACAGATATCGACCTGGACTACATGCGTCGGGTCACAGTGCACATTGCACGACAGCAGCCAGGTTTGGGTGGGGCTGACACCGGGAGGGGTGCGCCGAGGGAGGTCATGGCGGTAGTATGTCAGCCACGAGATGTTCGCGGGGTTGGACAGGCCGCTTTGGCAGCAGCAGCACGTGCTGTGCGTGACCAGACTTCGCGCAGGAGCGGAGTAGCTCGTACGCGTTCCATGCCTGCCACGGGGGATGCCGCATTGGAGGAGTCTTCTGGAGCCGAGGGGTTGGAGATGTCGCGCGGTTCTCGTCGTGAGAAGACAGTCACAGAGGTAACTCAGGTGAGTGCTAGGCTTGTTCGGGTGAGGACGGGGGCTGCCCATGTGACCGTGGTGGAGGACGAACCCAAGACGGAGCCTGGACATGAGGAGGCCCCACAGGAGGGTGACGAGTACAGGGACGACGAGGAGTGTAAGGAGGAGGAGAGCGACAGTGGGAATGATGACAGCTACCACGACGACGACGATGAGCGCGGCATGGTTCTCGTAGACGACGTGGCTCTCGTAGAGGACATGATGACGTAGACGACCCGTGCCCTCCAGGACGGCAGGAGACGAGGAGTCGGAGGAGGCGAGGGTCATCCGTTGCGACAGCGCCGGGGCGAGGGAGTGTTTCATTGACATGCAGCACGAGTGGAGCGAGGCAGAGAGGTAGTGGTAAGGGGTAGGGAAGTCGATGATATTGACAGCTTCGTTCCCCTTCCAGTGCTTCCACGATGCCTTTATGTTGTTTGTGCTTTGTGTTATGATGTTTTTGTATATTGTTTAGGATGATGTACATATAGTTAGGTTTTAGGGACTTCGGACCAGTTCATGGACTTCAGCATGCAGGTAGACTGGGTAGTGTCATCGAGAGTGTTTGTTTGTTTCGTTTTTCGGTTTATGTACGACATTTTCATATTGTTTTCTAGTTATCAGGTTTTTGTTAGAGGTGAGACTTCATTCTGACTTGTCGTTTTACGTAGATGTTTGTTAGGGTTTTCTTTTCAGCTTTGTTAGTTAGCGGTGTAGGCTGCATCCCATCGGTGTACAACCCTGTGCGACTCGGCACGAGTGTCGACGACACATTGTACCATGTGAGATGTATGTCATATTGGACTCCTATATGCGACTTCGCCGACACTTCGGCATGACTTTTATATGACATCTCATGACTACTTTGTTTTCATTGTAGTTTCATGTTCTTCTATGCGGTTATTCTTGTGTGTGTGTATGTGTGTGTGTGTGTGTGTGTGTGTGTGTGTGTGTGTGTGTGTGTGTGTGTGTGTGTGTGTGTGTGTGTGTGTGTGTGTG